GTGACAGAAATTTGAAAAAATTTAAAAACTCCCATGCATTTGAAATACATGTAATAAAATCTATATATATATAATACTGCTATATTGTTAGTACGGTGGAAACATATGTGTCTGTCTCTCTCGTAACTGCTTCGAGTATTACGCGCATACTCGACAATTGAAAATGCCTATAATCGCCCATCATTTACCCCACCAGATTCGTGACGATTGCGTACAATGGGTCGAGTAATCTAAAAAGAGACAGAAGTACTCGTTTGTTGTCTCACTTGTTCCGTGACACATCCACTTATAATATAATAATAAAACAATATAGAAGTATTATATATATGATATAATCAACCTATGCTCGGCTAAAAATTTTCCATAGGCATAAAATAATCCTTTTTTCTGTACACTCATACGTACAATTCCTTGTTTCCCAAAATTCCCTTTTGAATGTGGAAAAAATAAAGTTTTTATTGAGTGAAAAACCCCCAACCTCTGATTTCTAGACTTAATTGAAGGGAAGAAACAGAAACTTTTAGTATTTAAAGGTTACCTCAAAAATTGAAATAATTATTTAATACTTCAATGATAAAACCAGAAATATAAATATTGCGCATAAGCCCATATATCTTTGTCTAATTCTTTTTCATTTCCTAGGTATTTCAGCGGTAATTGTTCCAAAACCAATAAAAGGTCTAGAATTGGGGAAAAAAGAGGAAAAACTTGGTATACGGGGTTCCTCCACTTGCTTATTAATGTTCGATGAATGCCAAATCCCCAGAGAAAATTTACTTGGTGAATTAGGATTCGGCTTTAAGGTACGAGCCAACTGATGTAACTAATTATTGTTTGTTACAGGTCATCCATAAACAGGGTGGCTACAGACTGGGTAAATCGGCAATTTAATGTTGCCGGTAGTATCAAGGAATTTTGAAGGGAATTTAATCGGGACATTCGAAAGTTTCTAAATTTTTTAAAAAAGTGTTGAACTGATTCTTATTAAATATTTTAATATAGAATTATCAACAATAGGTCATAAATAATTTATTTCAATAACTAATAAATTTTGATTTTTTCAATTTCTTAATGTTGTTTTAAACTGTTTATTCTTCATAAAAGTAGAAAAAATATTCAATTAAAAATAAAAGTCAAGGTATTATATGA